TCAAAAATACTGAACGGAATTAAAATCGCTTTTACAGGATTGAAATAAACATAAAATGTAATGGGGCGAGCTATTTTTTTGTAGTAAAAACGACAAAAAATTAAAAATTACCTTTTTTTAGGTCGTATAGCGATCATAACCTATCACCTGACGTAAACATTTTATTGATATAAAAGTTCTGTAGCTTATATGTACAAAATAAGTAGCTCGCTCCCTTCGGATTACAGGAACAAATAATACAAGACCTTTTGAGCTACGATTGAAAGCGTAGAAAAAGGTTTATTGTTTCAACTGCAATTTATGGTAATTTGCATGCTTAGCTAAGGCAAAGACAGCAAAAATTGCGTCTAGCAGTAAGTGTTGGATTTTGCAACAGACGGCACTTTAATAAGTTAGATAAGGACATTGCACGTGTTTGAGTGAGACAAAAGATATTGTATGAAATTCATTTAGAGATACTACTGACACCAAAGAGTCTGTTTTATCGACCTCGTACAAATTTTTCCGACCTTCCAGCATCGCCTTAAAGTTACTCGAATTGTAACCCAGTCAACACGCATGTCTAAACGACATCCGAAAGACGTCTTTCGAAAGATGTCTTTTCGGACTTTACAAAAAGATGTCTTTAAGACAACTTTTAGTATAGTCTGAAAAGACATCTTTCATATGACGTCTTTGGGACGTCTTTTTTAAGACGTCTTTTGGACTTTACCAAAAAGACATCTTCAAGACAACTTTTAGTATATACTAAAAAGACATCTTTTATACGACATGTTTGGGACGTCTTTTTTAAGACGTCTTTTGGACTTTACCAAAAAGACATCTTCAAGACAACTTTTAGTATAGTCCAAAAAGACATAGTGCAATCAGTGCACGCGTGTTCCGTGATCATCCGTGATTCGCCGTACGTTCTCGTAGCTCCGATCGTATCAATCGGTGTCTGATGATGGAAAGGATTGACATTTTAATCCAAGGTAATTACTACTGAATGCATATATCCCAGTATTCAAGACAATTATTATTAAATATTGGTCGATAAATACGCAGCTTGCATTAATAATTATTCTTTCTTAATTCATAGCATTATAATGTCATAATTTGTGACTTAACCTCAAATTTGTAAATCATATTATTTTCAAATATTTTTTGTTATTGGTTAATTAATTTTACAAGATATTATTTACAACTACATTGCATTCTTTATTGCATTGTAGGTGTGCTTGATCTATGCTGTGACTATCTAAGAGATAATTTAGCGCCGGAAAATTGTATCGGAGTGATAAGATTTGCCCGCCAACATTTCTGCAAGAAGCTAGAGAATGACGGCTTACCATTTTATCGTAGGACATTTTGTCGTTGTCAATTAAAATAAAAACAAGTAAAACATAACTAAATTTTTATCTCTTTTTATTCTTAAAATTATACTATATACGTAATGTGTAAAAGATGTCTAAAGAATGTCATATAGGATGCCCAAAAAGTGTCTTATAGGTTGTCTTAAAGATGTCTAAAAGATGTCTGAAAAATGTCATATAGGACGTCAAAAAAATGTCTTATTGGTTGTCTTAAAGATGTCTAAAAGATATCTGAAGAATGTCATATAGGACATTTCAAAAGTATCTTATAAGATGTCTTAAAGACGTCGTAGGATGTCTAAAAACTGTCTTATAAGACGTCTAAAAGATATGTAATATGACGTCTAAAAGACAGACATAAGACGTCTTAAAGACGTCTTTTAGTAAAATCTTTTTGGACGTCCGAAACATTTTAAGACGTCTTTTAGTCGTCTTTAAGACGTC